TCGAATTTTATCTCAGAGGAAAATAGCAACCAATCGCGTGACATCTCGTCGTAAGATTCCAGAAGATAACCGGACTCTTTTTCGCGATGGGTTTATAGTTTTCGGATGTCGAAGAACTAGCGCCAGCCAGTGTTTCATAGATCGTGGGATGAGGACGCAAGGGGACAAGGCAAAGTGCTACAGCGGGGTTGTGCTCGATCTTCTCTATCCAATTACCCCGACCATCAGTGCTCACCAACGGGGACTTCCGGCGACAATACTCTCGGATCTCCTGACTTTCCCCGATGCCGCTTGACCCACTACCCCTCGAGTATTTCGCTCTGGGGGTGCTCAACGTCGTGAAGATGTCGCGGCAACCCCCTTCGTGACTAGACGCAACAACTAAGTCAGACACGCGAGCCTACCGCCTACCGAAGAATGACACGTGGACGGCCGAAGGATCCGTCCGTCGTCATGACATCGTTCTCACGGAAGGTGCCTTACGTGAGGCAACGGCGACGAGACACCCGGTAGATCGGGGGTCCGAGGAACGGCTCACGGGGGACAGGCTCGGGTGGGAATTTGGCAACGTTCTCGTCGCATGATCATGAGATCACGTGTTGAGAATATGCTCGCGTATCCCAAGAGCTTTAACTATTTCGCCGATAAATTATTTAAGGAAACAAGTGCAGTAGGCAGCAAAATTAAAGGCAAAGTAATATTACATGATTACATATTAAATATTCTTCTTCAATTCTTCAATAACACTTGTCCACTTTAAATTATCAAAGCACATTCTACTTGCACGAGTTTAAAATCTTTGCAAATATATAACTTTGCCTCGTTTCACTTTTGCCGCGCAAAGTTAGAAATTGTCGTTTGACGGATGTCAAAAACAATGTGGCGTATTGAGATCCACTGAAGTCCAGTGGCTATCCGCAAGAATTTACCCGGTCAAGAGGGACGGGAGCGGTTGGTTTATCAATCCACCCCTTCCTGGGTGGCAGATCCGACCGGACGAACGGACGTTAGAGCGGGGAGGCTTGGCTTAGTGCGGTACTGGAAAGCACTTGATCTTAGAGGAGCGACTACCTCTATGGGCAGCTCAAACTACGCCAATCCAAGTCAGCCCCCTCCGGTGGTGGTTTTACTCGCGCCGAGAGGGTTAAAGGCTGACACGCCAACGAGTTGGGTAAACGCCATTTAATAGAGGATAGCAATGTCATCCGTATAATTTATGAACAATGCGCTTCCCTGTTTTTTTATTTCATGCGACTTGTGCACAAAGCGAATGCATTAGCGAGACACAATTTCTCGGCATACAACTACGTGCGCGCAGAAGTGTATCAATTTTTATTTTGTTTTTAAATCAATTCAGCTTTAATGTAATACAATAAACTTGTTTTTCCTAAAAATGAGAAACATTAACTTTGTGAAATTACAACATTATCTATTTTTCATGCAAATACTAAATATATAGTGTAACTATTAATCAATTTATAATTAGTACAATGACATTTATTTGCAAGTAGTTTGGCAATGCAAGAAACATAAAGAAAATCTCTAATAAATGTCAACCGAAATTCAAGCTTGGCTTCATACAATCTTTCATCATATCATTTCGAAGAGCTACACAACGAGGTTGTAGATACAGATACTTTGCTAATGATCACGAATGTTCCATCAAGTTTTGAATATTACATCCGAGATGCTCGTCGAATAAGAGGCGAGACGTTTTCAATGCCTGATTATGGCGTCGGACACGGCCGCGTCAATTCATCTCCCGAAGAGAAAAGGCTCCCCCGCAATCCAGCCGTGTCAGATATCCTGCCAGGAATCGTTGCTCAGGTGAAGCGCGAAGTCGGAAGCCCTTTTCTATATTATTCGCGATGAATAACGAGACCACTCAGTCATTCCCTCCAATTTAAGTGTAACGAGCCACACCGATACATTCCTTCTTATTCTTTTTCCGGGTCTCCGTTCTCACCCCCACTCACCCAACCCATCTCCTGCCATCCAACGTGATGTAATCCCGCACAATCCAGACATTTTTCACCATTACTTGAGCGGCCGTAGCGATGGCGGGCAAATAATTAATTTCTCACGGAACTAACGAGCGCCGCTTTTCTTTTCAAACCCCACGGTGTGTTCTCTATCATAGCCGATTCAAGAAAAAAAAAAAGAAAACATCACGGAAAGGATAGTACGAAAATTGCGACCGTGCAAAGATTGTGATCGCCTGACAATATTAAAATTTTACTTTAACTGAATCTTCCAAATTCGGATAATCATATATTCATTAATTGTGACTTTCCAAAATAAATTCAATAATCTCAATAAACAAGCTTGTTAGCTGTTATCGCGCGGCATTCCATTGCGGCAACTCACATGTCGCGAAACGCTTTAGTTTAGTGTGAATTTCCAAAGTCGTTCGCATAATCGGAGCTTCTTCCGGGACGAGCAGGGAGGGGGACGATACCGTGTTCCTTATGAGGGTGCCAAAGCACCCCAAAGGGTAGTTCGGAGGTCGAAGTAGGTGCGGGGTGGGGGTTGTTTCACGATAGTTTGGACGATCTATGACCCGAGTTCGCTAAGAGACCACGAAAGGGTGGATTTACTGGTCCGTCCCGCGTTCACACCACACAAATCCAAGTGACCGCCCGGACCCCCTTTCCACGTTGTGCGACTTACGTCTACCGAACTATTTCCCCATCGTCGACCATGAATCGCCATGACGTCCAATGCTCGCCAGAAGCGAACGTTCACCGCACCAATCTACGAACTAAGACCTTGCCGAAATAACTGTAAATTTTATCGTTTAACGTAAAAAGCATCTGGACGTAAATTGTGAAAATTTTACAATTGCAGATTTTTAATAGCAATTAGCGATAAACTTCTTTACAAATGACATCCAATAGTAAATTAGAGAGATCGCGACAGCACCCGATACTTAAAATGACTCGATTTCAGCATAAATGCGACATAACGATAGACGCATGGCGTTACGACTCAGACAACTAATCGCGAAGTCGACGGCATGTCGTTAACGTTGATTTAATCCCGAGCGAGGCAGAAGTTAGGGCTCGCGCCGAGCAGGAACAGCTGCATAAGTAGTTTGTTTGTTATTGCAGATCGTTATTCCGATGTGTAAGCAGCCAGAAAATATTCCGCATGTGACGATGAGAGTACGGATATCTTTTGAAAAGGGCCGGCGCTTAGCATATCGTAAAAGCTGTAACTGCGCTTCGAAAAAAACGCGTGGAAGTCGGTCGGGAGGGGGATCGACAGTAAGCGCGCCTCGTGTATCGCATCATAAAGATTACCACTAGCTCGAGACTTTATTGTCACGCGTTATAAATGATGTCGCGGACTTACGCCAAATATTCAAATGACATTTTTATCCGCGGCTCCTTTCGGGCGGAAGAATTTCAGCAGATCGCACAGAAGGAGAATCCGGATGGAGACAGGGAACAGTGAGGCTTTTCTTTGTCGAAGAAGACATTAGCCTATGTATACGCCTAACATCAATATTCACCTACTCTTCGCACAAGATTGCACGCGAAGCCGATTTATATGCGCCACAAATATTCTGGAAAGTGACATCGATTCATACATCTCTTACAAAATCATTAATATTCATATTTAATAGCAACAATATTTATTGTAGCGCGCATTTTTCTCAAAGATTGCATCACCTGACTTGTTTTTCGTCTTCCGGTGGATTTTCTACTTTGGTCGACACGACCGAGGGCGGAGCAGTTGATACGGAAATGCTGCGATTTCTCAGGGTATTAAGTGAGCTCGCGACCTTTCATATTAATAACAATAATAGTACACAAGTCGAGCAAGAGAGAGAGAGGGAGAGAGCGAAACGAAGGGAAGCAGGGTGTAATCTGGCTGTGAGAGAGGGATGAGGGCAACTTTTGAGGCCAGATACAAATTACACCTCATTTTTATGCCATTTTAATATCGCCACGCGTCATTAAATATCCCCTCGCTCTTCCAACCCGCGACTCCACCGTGCAACTATGGCGTATCCTATATACTTTCGTAATGGCATCTTACAGGGAAATGAAATATTCGTACGCACCCATTAGCGTCTTGAAGGCGGAAGCCAGCGGAGCCGCAGAAATCGCACGAAGGAAACGTAGCGGCGATGAAAAATCGAGACGATTTTAAAAGCCGTCGCTGATGACGCGCTCCAAACGAAAAAAGGACCGGGGCTAAACGTGGGTACGCTTGTATTGTTGGTATCGGATTAGACGCGCTAGAATTAATAATGAGATTTATGGTAGGATGAGAAAAATTAAATTTCTGCTAAAGTCTTCCTAGGTAATTTAGTGCAAGTGATATGTATTCTTCTCAATGCTATGGTCATCCGTTGATTAAATTATAAAATTGTAACTATCTCTAAAGCTTTTAGAAATAAAATTAATAATGTTAAAGGGTCAGAGTATCAATATAACTAATTTCAACAGGCCGTCCTTAAAAATAAAATTTTGTTCTAAATACTTTTGCGAGAAATATTGTAACTTTAGTAGCGGAAAGAATCCGAGTTTTTATGCCAATATCATATTTTAAGTTATGCTAATTTTCCGAAAAAAAGACAATCGACTTGTGATATTCGAAGAATGAACTCCATTCGCCTGAATCATTTCCCATCCCTTTAGCAACCCTTGATCGTTATAATATCGTATGCGCATCGAACATATTCATAACTCGCATTTACTGCGACGTCACTTGGCCTTTTATTCGACGTACCGATACGCTCGACCGTACGGGACGATTTTATGTCCGCTTTTACGAGCCGGAGAAGCGCATTTCGAATTGGAACTGCAGGAATTACGGAGTCTCAGGAGCGTAGTCCTTTCCACGTCACACAAACTAGATGGTTTTAACTTTTATCCTGTGACATTTATTCTTCAAAGTTCGCTCGTATGTGGTTAACCGATTTTTTCCTCGCCTGAATATTCGATAAAAAAATTGGGAGAATATAAGAGAACTACATGATTATGACTTACCATTTTGTAGTGCTAATGTCCTCCAAACGTTGCCGATATCGAAATCTGAAACAAATTAAATACATAATTAACTCTCTCGAAGAAAAGACTATTGATTTGTGTAGAAAAAAAGCAATTTTAATAAGTGTTTCTTTTTTTCTTTCAAAATCTTACTTAATTAAATATTCTTAAATAAGATAATCTCAGCATCCGTGTTAATGCTATTAGAAATCCGTGTATAATGCATTTTGGGATAAAGCCACGAAGTAAAGAATTCTTCAGACTGTTCATTCTCAGAGAGAGAGTAAAAGGGTTAACGAGGCGGAAAGAAAAACAGAGCGGAGAAGAATAAACGCATCATCTCAAAGGGTTGAAAGATACAGTTTCCTAATTTTATTCCACGAAGTGGACTCTTCACCACCGGCCGAATCGCGAGAGGTGCGTCTTCTAAAAAAGTACTCGCGCGAGCGGTCCCGAAAAGGAAACGTTAAATAAAACGGAGCGCAAAATCCATCCCTGCACCTTTCCTACCCTATTTATTATATTTTACCAGCGCGCTCCTCGCGCGCCGACTTTCCTTATACCTGAATTGAAAATCTCTCTGTACGTGCGAGATGTATGCGCACCGGCGGCTCTAAGCAAATCGTGTTATCCTATGCCCGGCCAGTCGGCCATCTCTACGCGGCTCGAGAGGAATTAAAATAAATACATATCTTAATTAAGCTCCGGTATGCCATCTACTGGATGACCAAAAACGGCGGAGAATGCTACGGAGATATAATATCCACGTTATGCATACTGGAATTGTTCGTCCGATACGAGAAAATGTTAGCAAAAGCATTAACAGACTGATTAATATCACTATTCTATAATAATAAAAAGTCGGAAGCAAATATTGTTACAAAAGCAAGCTAAAAGAATTTACGAATTTAATTATAAATATTACGTTGTATGTGTAACAAATATTTCATCGTACAACTTCAATCTTTTCTATTTTGAAAAAATTTCCAAAACCATGTCCGATTACCCGGTATATCCGCATTATACATATGGAAGCATCGCACTCGTTGCTTTATTCCCCTTTATATGCACATTCGAATATCCGCAGGCTGCATCTCAAACTTGATTCTCTCAGTCGGAGCGTCGGCAGGCAGCGTTAAGAGTTTTCCCGGAGATTCAGTTCGTCCCTCTGCGCGTGTTTCCTACATTTTTCCTCCTCGCCGCCGCGTCCACTCGGAAAAATATATTCGACGAGAAGAAGGAGAGAGAGAGAGAGAGAGGAGGGAAATAAAAAAAAAGACAAGCTCGTGGTGTGCACGCGGAGCTTTTTAAGTGGGCGGCACCGGGTGGCGCAAGAAATTCGGTGAAATTTCGCGCAAAACGGGAAAAGAGCCGCGGGCGTATTGGGTTACGCGAATTCTGAAATCCGAGACTTTATGAATGATAAAGCGTCGAGGGTGGGCCGCCTCATCGTCGAAAGGAAGGTCCGACAACGCGATGAAAAAAGACAGGGACATCGGCGAGAGAGAGCAAAGCAAGCGAGCGAGCGAGCGAGCCCGTTACCGCCTGGCCGTATAATTAATTTTCGTCGAACGCGAAATCCGTTTAACATACTTTCCGAAACTCTCCAGCCGGTTTCGTGACGAGCCCGGAACAATTTTTTCAAAGGGCGCGCCGCCGGCTGCCTCGCCCTTTTACCCCGCGCACCCCGCCCGCTACCACGCGCGGGTGCACCCCGCGCTGCATTTGTGAACGGTGCTTAAGGTCACCGGCCGCCGCGCCGCGCGAAATCACGCGACTAAGTTGCAGCGGCAGCCCATTACGCTCGTTTTCGACATGTAAACACGCGACCGGTGCAACTTCGTTTGACGTGCAGAAATTAACGTGCTGCGATCCAAAACTGCGAAAGAGGAGGTGGGACGGGGAGGGAACGGGTTGAAAGAGGGTGCGAGGGTGGAAGGAGATGGACGCGGATGGACGTAACTAGACGTACTTATTATTATTTAGGGGTGCAACGCTGGTGTGGCCCTTCCGGGCTGTCAGTTTCGCAGAGGCGAAATTACATATTCCTCGCAACGACCGCGTCGAGACGTGCGAGCAGTACGAGACGAACGGGGACGGACTTTTTATTTCGCCGCTGCCTTTGCTGGCCGCGCGCGGCGGTGTCAAAGCGGCCGGTTCTCCTCAAAGTATAATTATTTTAGTTACAATTAAAAATGTGCAGACCCGCCGGCGACGCGCTCTCGCTTCGCGCCGTGAAAGCGTTTCGGACTTGGCCGCCTCTCTGCGCCATCAATCTTTCTCCGTTCTTCGTATTGTCCACAAGCGCACAAGCTTTTGTGCGACGCTAAAAGAAAACCGTCGAAAGACTAAGAGTTCACAGAAAAATAATGAAACAATCAAATTATTGTGAAATCAATGTAAAAAGCGATACTGTTCGAATTGTATACATTTCTTGAGAGCTTTCTTGGCATTCCTCAAAGATTATCTCAGATTATCTACCGTATGTTTTTTTCGACTTTTCACAATAATGTTAAGGAAAGCCAAATATAATTACGCGCGCACACAGTTGACGTTAATTAAGTTCCAGAAAATTTAAATTTCTAACTATGTTTCGATTTACATTGCGCTACTCTAATACGAAATCAAAGTATAAATTAAAATAGTAAGCACCATCTCGCTAGATTGTCGCGGAGATTTAATGCAATCGTACTTCGCGAATCGACGGAAGAACGCGGACCAGGCTACCAGCGTGCAATTACTTTTAACGAGGACCCTAGCCACAGAAAAATATGGCCCGGTAGCAAGAACTTTCCCAATTTTAATCCGTCATTCGAGACCAGCTACGCCGAGAAAAAAGCGGCAACTTTCGTCCTGTAACAAGTTGTTGTTCGGGGGAAGAGCAAATAAAGGGACGCGATATCCCTTACCGAGATTGTGGGCGAGAGGAGAAGAAGCGAGAATTGAGAGGCGAAAGAAGGAAGGAAGGTCGAAGAAGGATCAAGAAGTAAACCATAAATAAAGGAATTAGTTTTTAATGGACGTTAGTCACTATTAATTGTGGAAAGTTAACCCCTTCCTTTGCCAAGCCATTCTTACCATCTCTCGTCCCTCCTTTCCCCTCCACTGTCCCTCCTTCCCGTATTCCTCCGGGAGATCGCGCTTGTCCTTTGAGACTGACGGGCCATGGTGGCAAAGGAACGGACGAACAGCAAAGGTACAGGAGTCTGGAAGGGCTGAGAAAGCGCCGGGGAAACACGGCACAGCCTTTATTTTACATTTCCACGAGCCATTCTTTCTTTGTGCGATAATTAAGTAAGCTGAAGCCAACCGCTGGCCGGCCGTCCATTCATGTTCGCCTCAAGCTACGTTGCCGGCCAAGAAAGGGTTTAAAAATTATCTTCCGTCAGTTTACCCTCACTTGTGAATTATTTTGCGACCGGTGGATAATTCTTAAGATAGTTAAAATAAAGTTTCTTGCTCTTCTCAGATTGCAACTTTAGTGTAAGATTCATACATATTTTTCCCACATTTTTCTTTACACTTGTAAATTTTTTTATCGGGGTTTCTCTCACTCTCATTACCTGTCGCTCACTGTTATCAATTAAGATAAGATATAATTGAATTTAAAAAAATATTTAATTCTTTTGCCATTTTTTGTATTTTTTTTTTACTTTTTGAATTCGAAAATTGTCGCGATGGGACTCCGTTCTCGATACGTGATTCTTTCGCGTGCAACATGTCAGGCTAGTCTCGAAACTTCGCGTAAGGGAAAACCGTACACGTGCAGACGATCGCACATCTACGCGAGATATTACGTCTCGCAGACTGGAGCACGGCGGAGTTATATTAGACAGGAGCGAAGAGCTCTGGTGGCAACTGCCGTCTTTCACTTCGCACTGAAACCCCGTGCGCCAAGAATCTTGCTAATTAGATATATAAGGAAGCTAATTGTAATAAGGTGGAGTCGGGTGTACACGAGAGAGCCTCCAGCCTCCCATCCCACCCATTCACCTCCTTGTTCACCCACCGGCACACGCACAACCTCGGTATACGCGTATTTTCTCTGACATTTGTACTCATCTGCAACGCTTTGAAACCGAAACTGCCGTTGAAGAGATCCCGACAAATCGCGCTCAAAGTAAGCGCAATTAATATGAATGACGGCTTGGTCCGTGAGCACTACACGAAATTCTGTTCGCGAAAAAAGTGGAAAACGAAGTAAAACGCGCGCTTTCAGACACAATAATATTACATGAAAGATATGTCAGAATCTTCATATCATTATTTCGTTGTTTCACGTTGATTAATATCTCTAATAATGAATTTAGTAAATTAAAATTTAGGTATTGGTCTCTAAGTGTCAATGTTAATTAAAAATGAAATAACTCATTAAACATGCACAGCACATAAAGAAAAATTAATATATAATTCACAATAGCAACTGAAAAATAAGTTACTAATAATAATATAATATATTAATTCTATGTGTGGACATACAAATAACTTATTACAAAAAAAGGATTAAATTTTTCGATATAAACAGATCTACGTTAGAATAATTCTCTATCGTATCATTTTGTCTAATTTTCTCACGAAGAAGAGCATCCAACTTATTAATGGATATCATTTTTTGAAAAAGCCATCCCATCATTGCGCGAAAAACGTTTGAGGATCGTGGATAGTAGAAATTTACGACGGAGAAATCGCAAAAGGGGAGAAAGGACGGAATGCGTGTTATAGTTATAACGAAGAGGTGAGTAATTTAACCCTTCTTAGAGTCGTCTTGTCTTCACCATACCCTCTACCGTCGACCTCCCGTGTCGTCTTATCACCTCCCTCCTCACGCTGTAATCTGCAACCCCATCGTTCAACGTTGGTTTATTTAGACCCGGCTGAGGTGATCGCTTGATTAAATACTTGTCCCAACGATTCCGTTCATGTCGTACATCACGCGCGACAAAACAATTCGAGATATTTAAGGTACCTCATATACAACATTAATAATTTTAGTCAATGTTTAAAAGCGTATATATCTCAAACAATTTATTATATTAAAAAGATTG